CTTACATCCAAAAACCATCTCAGCGATATGATCTTTCCAAAGTGGAAAAAAAGCTCCTGAAGTGTGTTTAAAATTCTGGCCAAGCAGCGTGAAGGAGCATTTATTCTGCTTGGCATCAAACAGCTGAGCAGGTTTGGTTTGGTCCTAAGCCGAGCCGAACATCAGCATTATTCATCCAACTCACTCCCAAACGCTCTGAGAGGACAGCGAGGGAGGTCGGAGGGGTTTATCGCACCAAGATGGTCTCTGCTCTGGGTAAACATACAGGTGGGCGAAGGCTAACTAAACACAAACGAGCACATTTTCCAGCCTGCAGCTCACCCACCGTGATGAGGCGAGCTGCTGGACACACATGAAAAGACTCAAAAATGAAATCCAGACTTACATTCTGCTGCTCAGGGCATCAATCGGCCGTCCAAAGTGCGGCACCGGAGAGCAGAGCAAGAAGACAGCAAAGCACCACTGCTGCAGGACCGTCCTGGAGAAGAACATTATTTCTGCAAAGAGAAGAAACAAGAAAGTCATCTCTCTCATTTCACCAAACAGTAGTTCAACCCAAACACGAGAAGAAAGGTTCACAGGAAACTTACGTTCCCACAGCAGCACAGAAACAAAAAAACACAGAAAACGAGTCCTTTCTCAAACTGTCTCAGGAGAAAATCCAGGTGATGACACCTTTAGGGGAAAAAAGCAATCCTGACAAGCCAAAACTCATCCAGCAGCTCCTCTTTGGTTTGTTCCCAGTTTAAAGCCTCCTCATAGAGTGAGCAGGGAGGTCATCCAGCTGCAGCTCCAGAGATTAAAGGTGAGCCCGACTGCAGTGCTGCAGGTCGCTCTGATGGGAGCATTTGTTGCATGCTGCCTGAGAGCTGCTGCAGGTCAGAGACGGGAAAGGGGAGGACTTGTTAACAGAGAGGAGGACCTCCTCACGCCTCCTTCAGGGAGGGGAGCAGAGGAGGAAACATGGCAGGAAGGTGGCGCTCAAGCAGCAACAAAAGCAAGAACCACAGCTGGAGCTACGGAGGTCAGTTAGTACCAACAGCACAGAGTCTGAGGCCACAGACGGCAGCACATACTTAATAAAGTCAGTCATTCCTGCAACTGCATGTCAGCCTTTCACACTGTCACTGCACAGTTATCAAGGTCTAAATCATCACAACAAGGATATTGTTGTGATGTAAAAAACATGAATGACATTTAAACACATTTTATATTCTGTGTCTAATGTAAGCTAATGTGTTGCACACTGAGAAAATAAGCATCACACCTTTTGGATTTTAGTGGAAAATCAGCCCACACCCTACTCTGCATCATTTAATCACTAAATGATTAATTTTTTTAATTAAATAATTAAAAAAAATCATGTCAACCCCTCACAAATCTCTTAATAGCACCCAGTTTTCTGTATGACATCATAGCAGGAATATCTTTGTCAGGTCATCAGAGGCACATGAGCCCACCACATGTTCTTCCACATGTGAGGGGCAGCCAGTCAGAAAAACTGAAAGCAGAACATGTATTTTTTTAAATTTCTTTTCTTCAGTGCTGATCACAGCTCGACTGTAATTCGTTTTTAAATCTCAATATTCAGTTCAGTAAAACCAAAGGTGAAGTCTGTGATATCAGGCGATGGCAGCGCCGCTGTGCCTAAACTTGGTGATGGTTTGTGAGCGATGCACTCTGACAGCGGGTGTCAGCAGCAACCGTGAGCCATCACTGGCCTTTAGACTCGAGGAGTAAGGTGGTTTGTCTTAGGTACGATGCCTCTGAGGACAAAATCGAAGGAGGGTGATGAGGTCTGGCAGGTTCAGCCCTTACCTGTCAGTGCAGCGAGGACGTGCACAGAAAACAAATCACGTGTATGAAGGCACTGCAGATCAGGACATTTTGAAACTATGAAGAAAGTCGAGCGGTCCATTATTGTTTCATATTGTTGTGAGTGAGACGCTATAGAGTCTCCGTTAACAAGTATGCAAAACTGTACTTTCATCTATCTTAATTTGCAAATGGGATGTAATTAAATTATATACATTTTGATAACATTTCACTGTAAAATTCATTAACTTTTAATTCTAATATTTCATGGGCTGACTTGTTCTTAAGAGTAGAAAAGGGAAGTTTAACAACCTTAAAGTTACGTAAAATAAAGATAAAAATCCTGGAAAAGTTCAGATTCTATCTAGTTCAGATCTAGTGTAGCTCTGCATTAGCTCCATACGCCGTGCGGGAGGAGAGCTTACATAAGAGCGATGACAGTGTTGGTGGTCTGAGGCTGTTTGATCCTCACACATGAGGAATGTTTCCAGCTGAGTCGTATTTAACGTGATTAGATCAGATTAGATCAGATTAGATCAGATTCCTATAATCAGGTGTAGAGATCAACGTGTGGGGACGGAGCTGCTGACAGAAATGATTCAGTTTAATTACAACAGATCAGATTTATAAGTCGGGAGAAAGCTAACATGCAAATATGAGACTTACACTCTGGAAACAATACACTTCTGTATTTTAAAGCCTACTGAAGCAGCTGGTTTCCATCATGATGTTAAAAAAAGACTCATAGTAACTCCATGGATAGACTGTATGTGAAAGATGGACATAGCCACCTAGCAGTTTCTAGACTCCATTTCGAAGCGTCACCAAGGTTAAAAATAAAGGAGCCACAGAGGATTTTGACCCAGGAAACAGTGTGAATCATAGTCTGCCGAGTGTACACTTTCCATAACGCTAGGCTCTAGTGAGATTTGAACACACGACCCCTGGTTTGCAAGGTCAGTGCTCTAACCCCTGATCTATGCAGCCTGGTATGAAAGGTGAAGCTCCACCCACCACACCTGGCCAGCACTTAGGTGAGAGGCCTTCCTCTCATGAGGTCTGTGAGCTTCTAAGATTTTGGGACATGCACAAGAGCTAAAGCAACACAAGAGTGAAGTTTAAACTGATGTTTCAAAATACATGTCCCACATTGTATTAACAACCTAAGTTAGTTGAATTAGAGTTTTTTTTTAATGATGTTTAGACATTATGACCTCATTAAGCTAGTCTGAGAATTGGCTACACTGCCACTCAAGCTCTAACAACAACCTTTAAGACAAGCCATTAAAACTGTTAATATTTGTGACATATCAGCAATTTCTTTGTTTTTTTAGACATGGTAGGTTTTTATTTTTCAAATCTGATGAGCCAAAATGAAGTAATGAATTTTTAATTCTATTGAAGGTTTGGCAGAGGAGTTACAGCTAAAACACGCGGCACGTCATCCTGACAGCAGAAGAAATTTTTTATAGTTTGTGGATTGAACGGCATATTTGTTTAAAACAGCTTTGAGTAACGATGTCTTGCAAAAGCACCGGATTTACATGTTTTATTTAATTTTGTCTGAGAAATGTGCATAACACACCTGATGTAAGCTGAATTTATACTTTTAACTGCTGCTTTTTTAAAAAAAAAAAAATCATTTAATCTATGAAATACATTAACAGTGCAGTTTTGCAGTGAAACAGATAAATGTTCTGATCGCTGAGAAAACTAACAGACCTGTTTTACTCAGTATGTAAACATTAGATGATCAGAATACAAATCTATACATCAACCTTCTGGCTTCAAGTGGAGCCCCCAAGTTTCCTAAATTAACCCCCACATATGTGAGAGCAAACAAGAGTAAGTCAGACAAACACGGCGGGCAGCAGCGCCATCGCCCTTTCCCGCTCTGACTGACACTCGTTGAAATATCAGCAATGTGTTCCAGCTGTCGCTTCCCACAATTAAGACCAGATCTCACAGAAAAACGCAGCCCAGCGCACACTCAGCGGGTCTTATCTCTGCGGCGGGGAAATCACTGGTGGGAAAAAAATGTTTACTCAAGCATGTGGCATCGACATTTCGCATGTTTGAAGCTGAGATTTATGTGCAATTGTACAAGTTTTTTTTAACCCAGCGCCATGGAAATGCCAGGTTCGAAGCATGATTAGAAACAATAGACAGGAGATTGATGTTACTGACGTTTCAGCCAACTGACGTCTGAGTGCACACAAACATTTCTTGGCTTTCTCTTCAGGAATGTTAGCACCGATTCCCAAACAGGAGTTCCACTTAGATATAATTACAGTTTATAAATTATCCTTCATTGTAGCATGAATCCACCAACAGCATCAAAACCACACTATCTACACTACTGTGCAAAAGTCTTAAGCCACCCCTCATTTCTTTTTATTTCCTTGAGCCAGACTTTGTGTATTTCATTTTTTTTTTTTAAATTTTCTTTAGCATTACTTCCCCAGGCTTTCACAGTTCTTCTTTGGACTCTGGCTGCTTTTCGACTCATTTCAAGTCCAGTCCTTGTACTGACCATTTTCAGAGGAATTATTTTTGTTGTTGTTGTTGTTGTTAAGCCCATTAACTCTGACCTATGGCTAATTCAAGCATAAAAAGACTCCTAACTAAATGGATAAACCAGTGTTGTGTCTACATAGCACAGACAACTTAGCAAAGAACAGATTTAAAATTGTATCTTGAGGCTCGTCGTTACTAGCATCAGAAAAACAGTGTTTCTTCCCATTTCTTTAGCTGAATCTGTGAAAAATGCCAACGATAACACAGTTTGACATAAAATTGTATTTTTGCATAAACAAGGTGATTCCCAAAGAACTGTTAGCTAAAAACCTAGCATATCTCAGCACGGTGTGAAGTGTCAGTTAAAAAAGGGAGGAAACTGGACAAGTGAAGGGCAAAAAAAAAGAGTGTGAGGCCTAAAAGACTTTCTACAGCAGATGACCGATATCTGAAAGTCATGTCAATAAGAAAGAGGAAAACATCCAGATAAGATCTCAGAGATGCATTTGGACCATCAGCTGATCAATCCATGTGCGAGAGGTATAATAGTGAGTTCTCTAAAGTCGACATCCAAACTGCATGAAGCCACTGTGATAAAACACAGGGGTTTCTAAGCTTCATTTTCACATCTCAATGTTAGCATTTTAGCCTCCACTAGATTGTTTTTTGGAGACAGAAGCGTCCATGCTGACCTGTTTACAGATGGCCTAATACTTGACAGTGTTCAGGCTCTCTGCACAACAAACACCTCACTGAGCATGTGCCAGAAAAGTAAATGGATGCTGGTTTCTGTAACTCCTGATGTTTGTCCTGCACTCCTTCCTCCTCCTTCTCTCTTAGATGTTTCTTCTCTTGTCCAGCCAAACAGATATGAATAAATAAAGCTAAAACATCCTAGCTGGACCCTCCTTGAGTTACATGCAGACTCTGTCTTGGCTGGCTGTCTGTGTACCAGCTAACCTGAGCCTTCATCAGCTCCTCTAAGCGTAAAGAGCAGCATGAAAGGTGAAGATTAGCCCACCGTGCGCTCTGAAAATGTTTAGCTAACATTACTGACAGCCTCCTGGAGTTTCAGAAGAGCTGCGCTCCTCCTTCATGCACATATAGATATTTATCAGGGCTTCCCTGCAGCACGGACTCTGAGTCTAAGGCAACTGGTGCAGTTGAGTCAGGCTGTGTTTTCAATTTACCCAATTATCTCAAACATTTTGGCTTGGCGACTGTGGTCTATTGATGCGTCCTTGATTTTTACCCAGAAATAGCAGCTTCACTGTAAAGGTCACTGTATGAACATGAGAAGCACACAATGAACACATTATTTGTTAAACCTGCAGGCTGCCAACATGAGCCCTGGACGCGGTGATGCAACAGAGCTTTCTGCTGCGCTTTTCATTCATTAGTGATCATAAACAGAATCCATTGTTCCCTCCCCAGTCACTGCTCGCAGTATAAAACAAGTCAACATTTGATGGTGAATGATTAATGCCAGAGGGAATCA